CCTAGCCTCAGCTCACCTACCACCGCACGCCGAGGAGCCGTGACCACCTCCAAGGATGAGACGTGGGGCGGTTTTTATCTCGCTGCTTTCACCATCAGGGTCTCGCCTTGCCAAGGCCTACAAGATCAGCTCGGCCGGGCAGAAGTTTGCGGGATGACGAAGGCGAGGAGGTCTCTGCGTGTCCCATGCCCAGCTTAACCGAGGGGGCGGATGGCCGCAGGGCGGAAGGTGGGTGCCTGTATCGCTGCCTCCTGTTTTCCAGAAGCAGCTCTCAAGAAAAAAAAGAAAAAAAAAGCAAAAAAAAAAAGCCTCGTCTTCAAAGAGCTCTCTAAAGCTTCTTTGAAAACAAAATGATTAAAGGCTATCTTCCCTCTCATCCAACATCAGACGCATCTCGCGCCACAGCCTTGCTTTCACCCCTCATTACACATGCAGCTTTGCCGCAGCTCCCGCTTCCGCGTCGCGATGGAAGTTACAACCCTGAATTAAAAGTGAAGTTCATTACCGCACATCAAAGTGGGCGCCGTGCCTCGGCCAGGCCTGCCCTTTCTTTTATTTATAGGTATCTGGCCCAGGAGTGGGGTGGTGGGGTGTCCATGGCACCGTATTTACAGTCGTCAGCTCCCGTAAGTTTGGGGAGGGGGCAGGCTGGAATGCTCGGGGCTGGTGGGGCTGGTGGGGTTGTCCCTCCAGAAGAACCAGCTGGACTTAAAGGCAGATGGAGATATGCTGGGCTGCACCATTTTAAAAAATAATTTTATTATTATTTTTACTATTGTAATCATTGTTATTATTGTTATTGTCATCATTATATAATAACATTAAAATTAACATCAACATTCACATTAACATTGATATTGACATTAGTATTAATAATAATCCATAGTTTTGGTCTAGATGGGCCACAACGTGGCTGACCCAGCCTGCTAAATTGTGCCCTATTTGACACAGGAGCCAAAAGTTTGATTTTTCTTTTCTTTCTCTTTTTTTTTTGCCATGGGATGCTGTGAGTGTCACCAAAGCTGCCTCTGCTGGCACTCATGGGCAGGAGGGACATGCACAGCCACCTCCTACCCCAGCTGGACTGATGTTCTGCCTTCAAACATTTTCATATTAGGTGGGCTTCATTTATTTTAATTTATTTTTTATTTCACTTTCAGTGAAACCAACAGTTTTGTCACAGCGGGAGGGCTGTTGAAAACAAAGGCGCTTTTTTTTTAAAATAATTTTAAAATAACGAGATTTTTGTCAAC